TCTAGGTAGCGATTTATTGGAGATTATCAATATTTATGAGTTCTTCTAGATTAGTTTCTACATTACAGTGGTCAGGGTAGTTTTGTTTTTACACAAACAAGTTTTTCAAATATTTATGAGTTCTTCTTGATTAGTTTTTACATTACAGTAGTCAGGGTAATTTTGTTTTTACACAAACCAGTTTTTTCAAATATGATGACATTTTGTGTTTCAAGTAAGAATCCCTTTTGTGATATCAATTTCAAGTATTTCTATTTTTATTACACATGTAGGCCTATAAAATGTACAAAGGGGAAAAAAATACATATTTTGCTTTATAGAGTATTTAAAGTTTTAAATGTCTGTAAACTTGCTTGTGATATTTTGACAATATTGTAATAAATATTGTTTCTGCTTTTTAATTTTTACGCAACTATTATTACTGTTATGCCTATATAATGATGTACTATTAATGAGCAGGGAGAACATTGTAGTATATATATATATATATATATATATATATATATATATATATATATATATATATATATAAATATATATATATATATATATATATATATATATATATATATATATATATATATATATATATATAAACTGCTTACTATATTTTTTAAATTTAAAATTTTGTCAAAATGTATGTATTTTATATACTTAAGTTCTGTTTTCGCTAATTGTTTTGCAAATTGGTATATGGCCATAAAAAGTTAGAGCAAAAACATGTAAACAGTTTTTCCAAAATACTTTTAAAACATTGTTATTCTAACTGCCTTTAAAAAAAGTATTAGACAATTTGACTCTACTTTTTCATAGAAGCTTACATCTTGTGAAATTTCCTTTAAATTAGTTTTAACATGATATCCTTTTAATTTTTTTGGTATTTAAATTTTGACAAATAATAATGTTTATTAAACCACTGTAAGAGTTTTTTTATGAGTGAATTTTATTTTTACTCAATATAAATTCTTCATTAGAATGGTTTTAATGAGAACAATTTTAGTCAGTGCCAACATTTACCTTAAAATAACTATTAATAACGTTGACCATTGGGACTAAGTTATAAAACATAACATCTGTCAACTTACTTAAATATTATGGTCTCAGAAATATAATAATAAAATAATTTTATCAAAGAAAAAGTAATGATTTGAGAAACTAGTATTCTTGTTTTAAAATGTACGTAGCAATTATAGAAAACATTCTAAAATGTTAAAGTTAATTTACAAAAAGTAAATCGTTCATATCGATGGGTTAATAAAAGCTATTTATATCCTGTATAACTACACGCTTTTAAATGCACTGAACATAAGAAAAGAAATTAAGCTTACTTTAATAACAGCTTTGTTAGTACATGACATTTCCTAGTAAAACAAAAGTCATTGTACATAAATTAAAGATTATGTAAGGCGAGTAAAATAGGTAGTGTAAATGTATATCTTAGCTTTTCAAATACTTTTCTGTGTAGTAATGAAATATATCTTTCCTTTTCTGTTATACAAATAATTTTAATTTAAACAAAAATAACTGAAACAGCCGTTTGCTATTATGCATTGAAAAACCATAGAAAGCTGCTGAAGCACAATGGTATTAAAAATGAATTATGTGCTAAATCAGGAGCTCCTATAGCGATGGATCATGTAGAGACACGAGTTTACTAACATTGCGCAGTCAAGTATGACACTGTCGCTTTTCTCCTTTCTGTATGTTTAGAACATTGATTGATAGCATAATATAATTTTTGGGTCAGCCAAAGACAGACAACTGCTTACACAGAGAATGCTCGTAACCAGTGTCATAGAAAGGGAAAGATGGGTTTCAGCGGTAAATTTGTAAATTGTGCTGTGTTACTGATAGTAATCAGTAAGTTCTGTCAGTAATGTATACAATAATACTAGCATGAATCATATAATTCAACCGAAGGTTTTGTACCCTCAACTTCCGATGATAAGAAATGTTATACTCTACTGCCATATGGACTAAGTAACAGGCAAGATACGCTCTTAAAGTGGAAATAAAATTTAGTAGCTAGTAACAGCAAGCAGTAACAATGCTAAAAGCCAGGTCTGATGACTACTTGTCTTAGCAATGGTTTACAGCCGGCAACTAAACTTAATAAGCAGATCCAATGACTACCGGTCAACTCAATGCCGGCAGTTTAAAGCATGAATACAATTATAAGTTAGAAAAAAGCGTCCAATCTTAACGTAATCTATCAACACAATCTATGGACAGTACTCAGCTAAAACGACATTATAAAATCCCAGAACCCTGGCTAAGATGACCTCATGAAGTTACATCATCACATTACAAAACATGAGCACGTCACATTAATTAACCGGCCCAGCCCCCACCTTACGACGACGAATATCGTTAATCCACCATCACCCTCATTAGAGCCAGTTAACGTGCCGTAATGTGGGGACGAGACTTCAGTCGTGTCCATGTTTCATCACACTGTGACATCCAAGTTTTGTTTTTCATGGTTTTTGTTGTTAAAAACAAATAGATCTAGTAACAATCTATTAACAACATATAGCTCTAGTAACCATCAATGTTTGTTAAAGATAATAGATCTAGTAACAATAATTTTTAAACAGGAAACAGATCTAGTAACAATCATTTTTAAACAGGAAACAGATCTAGTAACAATCTTTTAACAGCAAATAAATCTAGTAAAATCACTATTTTATTTTTTCGAAGACGAGTATAGATAATTTATTTTAATCGCAAAAAAAAAATGTAAAAAAAATAAACGAAAACAAGATTTTAACAAATCTCGATGCGCCCCCCCCCCCCCTTTTTCCTCGCCCATTTTAATTGGAAAAGCTTAGTTTTGTAAACAAAATAAATAAAAATGTATATATAAGTATTAGATTTAGATCCTAATCGTAGGTAGGTGTCAACAATAATAGCACTGTTTTTCTTTTATTCTCCCAGTAAAAATTTCCAGTTGCTAATTTTGTATTTTCTCTTTCATTTCTGACGATTTTTTAAATCTGGCAAATTCACACGTAGCCTGCTAAGTTCTTTTCAATTTTTATAATGCCTAGGTATTTTAGGTAATGCCTAGCAATAGTAAATAGCTACCAAGCCATTCCATACCTTGATTAAAATGACAGATATTCTAAAAAATGCTGGCTTTTCATATGGGTCTTCTGCCGGAAACATTATATGATTCCAATTCCAATAATATTATTTCCAAATAAATTAAATAAAAACATGAATATTAATTTTTTTTGATGGGGGGTTAAATGTGCTGTGTGGAGGTGGAATGGATCTAGGGGAGTACAAAAATAAATCTTTTTAAATAGCTTTAAAGGTGAGTGAATGCCCCAGACGAAATCTTTGGGCACGTCTGTGCAAAGTCAGACATAAAACACAATGAGGCGGGTAGGGCTAAGGCGGCGAGGTCCAAACAGGGCACAATGACAATACATTTTTTTATTAACCCATGTTATTTATTGAAAGTACTTTTTTAACAAAAATAATGTACTGTACAAATTTAAGTACCAGAAGATTCAAGTATGTGTAAGAGAAATAAGAGAATCAAACAAAATAAAGCATTTATCAATACTTATCTCCCTTTTCTAAACATAGCATATCAAGGCATTACATTTCAACATGGTATACGCGCTTAAACGAGAGGAATCCAAAGTAAATGTGTTCGTTTGGTGCGCAATAATTTTTAGTAATGGAACTCAATTAAATTTTATTAAAGTAGGCCAGTTAAAAATTTAACGCATAAAAAACTTTTTAATAACAAGCTTTTATGTAATACTGCACTATAAAGGAGAAATAAATGATTTAATTTAAATCCTATTATATAAAAACCAAGCTATTAGATCAGTATCTTCAGCAATATAAGTATATATGTGCACATGCACAAGCACAAGCACATGCACATACCCATACCCATACCCATACCCATACCCATACCCATACCCATACCCATACCCATACCCATACCCATACCCATACCCATACCCATACCCATACACATACACATACACATACACATACACATACACATACACATACACATACACATACACATACACATACACATACACATACACATACACATACACATACACATACACATACACATACACATACACATACACATACACATACACATACACATACACATACACATACACATACACATACACATACACATACACATACACATACACATACACATACACATACACATACACATACACATACACATACACATACACATACACATACACATACACATACACATACACATACACATACACATACACATACACATACACATACACATACACATACACATACACATACACATACACATACACATACACATACACATACACATACACATACACATACACATACACATACACATACACATACACATACACATACACATACACATACACATACACATACACATACACATACACATACACATACACATACACATACACATACACATACACATACACATACACATACACATACACATACACATACACATACACATACACATACACATACACATACACATACACATACACATACACATACACATACACATACACATACACATACACATACACATACACATACACATACACATACACATACACATACACATACACATACACACACTCATACATAGAACTAAAAAAAAGTAATTTTTCCCCAAAGCAATTATAACCCTGCATTTCCTTTTAGGTTCGCTCCCATACCCTTTGGCCATTCAAGAACAAACTACATAGTAGTGGTTTTTATTTTATTTTTGTGGGATTTTTTCCTAGAAGAGTTTCTGTTCCATACTACAAAGCCCTATGAACCTTGAGCTTTATCACCAGACCCCTAAAATTTCTTACCCAAATTATCCTCTGTTATAATACTTAGTTCACAGGAGTTGGCCAATGTCAACAAAGTGGAAAAATATAAACTAAAAAAATAAATCAACATAAACGCAATATTATTTTACTTTTTCTTATGCAAATATTTATTTTACGTTATTTTTACTTAAACTGATGTTAAATGGTAATTCATATACTTGAATTATTACAGCAAGCAAAAGATATTTTAACAAAAGGTTGAACCATTAAACGAGTTAACAGCATTTAGATAATAATAATATCCTACAATGTCTTTTATAAAATTATGTATACGTTTTAAATGTTTTAGATGACTAATGAAAAGACTAACATGAATAGTTTTACCTGATGCGGTAATTTTAAACTAAAATTTAACTTTAAACATTAGGTATCAGCTAAGATGGGTAGGATAAATGTGGCCGAGTTGTGTGACTTCTTATTTTGTTCCATCACAAAATCAAGCAAGTTCCTTTATCTTTTCTTTTATTGGAATCCTTGTTCATTAAGCATGCTCTTGACCAGGAGGATAGCAAATAGAGTTGCTATCCCAACCATATTAGTTCCTGTGGATTATTTGAAAATTATTTTTAGGAAAAGAGATATTAAAGAAATATATTTTTAAAAAACTTTCATTCAATAAGCTTTAAAATACACTGAGAAAAAGAAGAAAAAAAGAATTCGCTTTCTTTAATAAAACTTTTTAAATATTAAAACATTTCATTAGCAAGCGAAGCTTGTATAAAGAAAGCACGTTATTTTATTTTACATTTTCAGTACATTTAAAATCTTATTACAAAAGTCTATGATTAAAATTTTATCGTAAAATGTACGATCTAAGAAACAGTTATCTGTCCCTTCTGAGAGAAAACGCTAGACAGGAATCCCCAGGGGAAGAGGAAAGTGGGCCGGCAAAGTAAATCCTTGAGGAAGACATTTGAAGATGAGGCAAGGTCTGCCGGGCTTACGTGGGGGGGGGGGGGGGCAGATAAAGAAAGCCGGGCTTACGTGGGGGACAGATAAAAAAAGCCGCTAAAACAGGTCCAATGGAGAGGTGTGGCTGCAGCCTTTTGCTCGCCAGGGGCCACATAGGAATAAGCAATCAGCCGTGAAACAGCTAAAAAACAGGGTGATAATGTTAATTTGTTACTAAAGTTTGATGACCATTTGTCTATCTAATCAAATTAAAATTTAGATATCATTGCATCGTCATCCAAGAAGAAGATAGTTGGAATCTTTGAACAAAATCACTGCATTATAGGTGGGTTAATATTAGGTTACTAGATTTACCGTAACCCCCCCCCCCCCCAAAAAAAAAACCAAAACAACAACGGATATGGAAAACTTAATAAAAGCTAGTAATAATATAAGAACTCATACACTTGAAGTCAAATAAAAAACTGCGAATCGAAAGACAAAATTTACCGACCGCGCTTGATATATACTGCATATAAATAAATTGCTTTGCGTTTTCTTTTTATAAAAAAACACAAAGATAAGAAAAAATAGTTTTAAAAGCACATAACTCATTTATCTTTATCATTGGTCTGCAGTTGTTATCATTTTATCTATATATATAAAGCAAAGTGGTCGGGTGCCCGATAGGGCACTTCCCGGCGCCGCAGGCGCGTCAAATTTGGCACGATGGTGCCTTGGGGCGATAGAACACGAGGGCCGGTGACGGTTGGCCGAAAAGTCTACCGAGAGGGGGTCAAAACTGACCTCGACTGACCGGCGCCTTATATGTGCTATATTACGAAAAAAAAATTCCTCCGACGACCCCCCTTGAAATTTTGTGAGGTGGTAGGAGAACGCCTTGGGGTGTCACAAAAAACTCGCCATGTCCGGGAAAAATCGGGAAATGGGTCAAAACTGACCAGTCGTATTTCCCTATATAATCTTTGTATTTTATGGGAAAAACAGAGGGTCATTTCAAAACGGATTTTAGGGGACTTACCCTCTTTACATCTGGCTAATTTTTGGCATGTTTATAGGTAAATGGCTTGACCGTAGGGCAGACCTGTCGGTCTCACTCAAAGCCCTCGACGAGGGCTAAAAAGTGACCGCGAGTGAAATTCTCTTTATATGAGCTCTATTACGAAAAAAAATTTCCTCCGACGACCCCCCTTGATATTTTGTGAGGTGGTAGAAGAACACCTAGGGGTGTCACAAAAAACTCGGCATATCTGGGAAAACTTCGTAAAGCGGTCAAAACTGACCAGTTGTATTTCCCTATATAATCTTTGTATTTTATGGGAAAAACAGAGGGTCATTTCAACGCAGACTTTATGGTACTTAAGCTCATTATATCTGGCTAATTTTTTGCATGCTCCTAGGTCAATGGCTTGACCTTTAGGGAAAACTGTCGGTTACACTCAAAGCCCTCGACGAGGGCTAAAAAGTGACCGCGAGTGAAATTCTCTTTATATGAGCTCTATTACGAAAAAAAATTTCCTCCGACGACCCCCCTTGATATTTTGTGAGGTGGTAGAAGAACACCTAGGGGTGTCACAAAAAACTCGGCATATCTGGGAAAACTTCGTAAAGCGGTCAAAACTGACCAGTTGTATTTCCCTATATAATCTTTGTATTTTATGGGAAAAACAGAGGGTCATTTCAACGCAGACTTTATGGTACTTAAGCTCATTATATCTGGCTAATTTTTTGCATGCTCCTAGGTCAATGGCTTGACCTTTAGGGAAAACTGTCGGTTACACTCAAAGCCCTCGACGAGGGCTAAAAAGTGACCGCGAGTGAAATTCTCTTTATATGAGCTCTATTACGAAAAAAAATTTCCTCCGACGACCCCCCTTGATATTTTGTGAGGTGGTAGAAGAACACCTAGGGGTGTCACAAAAACTCGGCATATCTGGGAAAACTTCGTAAAGCGGTCAAAACTGACCAGTTGTATTTCCCTATATAATCTTTGTATTTTATGGGAAAAACAGAGGGTCATTTCAACGCAGACTTTATGGTACTTAAGCTCATTATATCTGGCTAATTTTTTGCATGCTCCTAGGTCAATGGCTTGACCTTCAGGGAAAACTGTCGGTTACACTCAAAGCCCTCGACGAGGGCTAAAAAGTGACCGCGAGTGAAATTCTCTTTATATGAGCTCTATTACGAAAAAAAATTTCCTCCGACGACCCCCCTCGATATTTTGTGAGGTGGTAGAAGAACACCTAGGGGTGTCACAAAAAACTCGGCATATCTGGGAAAACTTCGTAAAGCGGTCAAAACTGACCAGTTGTATTTCCCTATATAATCTTTGTATTTTATGGGAAAAACAGAGGGTCATTTCAACGCAGACTTTAGGGTACTTAAGCTCATTATATCTGGCTAATTTTTTGCATGCTTCTAGGTCAATGGCTTGACCTTTAGGGAAAACTGTCGGTTACACTCAAAGCCCTCGACGAGGGCTAAAAAGTGACCGCGAGTGAAATTCTCTTTATATGAGCTTTATTACGAAAAATTTTTTCCTCCGACGACCCCCCTTGATATTTTGTGAGGTGGTAGGAGAACGCCTTGGGGTGTCACAAAAAACTCGGCATATCTGGGAAAACTTCGTAAAGGGGTCAAAACTGACCAGTTGTATTTCCCTATATAATCTTTGTATTTTATGGGAAAAACAGAGGGTCATTTCAAAGCGGATTTTAGGGTACTTAAACTCAGTATATCTGGCTAAATTTTTGCATACTCTTAGGTCAATGGCTTGACCTTTAGGGAAAACTGTCGGTTTCACTCAAAGCACTCGACGAGGGCTAAAATGTGACCGCGAGTGAAATTCTCTTTATATGAGCTCTATTACGAAAAAAAATTTCCTCCGACGACCCCCCTTGATATTTTGTGAGGTGGTAGAAGAACACCTAGGAGTGTCACAAAAAACTCGGCATATCTGGGAAAACTTCGTAAAGCGGTCAAAACTGACCAGTTGTATTTCCCTATATAATCTTTGTATTTTATGGGAAAAACAGAGGGTCATTTCAACGCAGACTTTAGGGTACTTAAGCTCAGTATATCTGGCTAATTTTTTGCATGCTCCTAGGTCAATGGCTTGACCTTTAGGGAAAACTGTCGGTTACACTCAAAGCCCTCGACGAGGGCTAAAAAGTGACCGCGAGTGAAATTCTCTTTATATGAGCTCTATTACGAAAAAAAATTTCCTCCGACGACCCCCCTTGATATTTTGTGAGGTGGTAGAAGAACACCTAGGAGTGTCACAAAAAACTCGGCATATCTGGGAAAACTTCGTAAAGCGGTCAAAACTGACCAGTTGTATTTCCCTATATAATCTTTGTATTTTATGGGAAAAACAGAGGGTCATTTCAACGCAGACTTTAGGGTACTTAAGCTCAGTATATCTGGCTAATTTTTTGCATGCTCCTAGGTCAATGGCTTGACCTTTAGGGAATACTGTCGGTTACACTCAAAGCCCTCGAAGAGGCCTAAAAAGTGACCGCGAGTGAAATTCTCTTTATATGAGCTCTATTACGAAAAAAATTTTCCTCCGACGACCCCCCTTGATATTTTGTGAGGTGGTAGAAGAACACCTAGGGGTTTCATAAAAAACTCGGCAATTCTGGGAAAACTTCGTAAAGCGGTCAAAACTGACCAGTTGTATTTCCCTATATAATCTTTGTATTTTATGGGAAAAACAGAGGGTCATTTCAACGCAGACTTTAGGGTACTTAAGCTCAGTATATCTGGCTAATTTTTTGCATGCTCCTAGGTCAATGGCTTGACCTTTAGGGAAAACTGTCGGTTACACTCAAAGCCCTCGACGAGGGCTAAAAAGTGACCGCGAGTGAAATTCTCTTTATATGAGCTCTATTACGAAAAAAAATTTCCTCCGACGACCCCCCTTGATATTTTGTGAGGTGGTAGAAGAACACCTAGGAGTGTCACAAAAAACTCGGCATATCTGGGAAAACTTCGTAAAGCGGTCAAAACTGACCAGTTGTATTTCCCTATATAATCTTTGTATTTTATGGGAAAAACAGAGGGTCATTTCAACGCAGACTTTAGGGTACTTAAGCTCAGTATATCTGGCTAATTTTTTGCATGCTCCTAGGTCAATGGCTTGACCTTTAGGGAAAACTGTCGGTTACACTCAAAGCCCTCGACGAGGGCTAAAAAGTGACCGCGAGTGAAATTCTCTTTATATGAGCTCTATTACGAAAAAAAATTTCCTCCGACGACCCCCCTTGATATTTTGTGAGGTGGTAGAAGAACACCTAGGAGTGTCACAAAAAACTCGGCATATCTGGGAAAACTTCGTAAAGCGGTCAAAACTGACCAGTTGTATTTCCCTATATAATCTTTGTATTTTATGGGAAAAACAGAGGGTCATTTCAACGCAGACTTTAGGGTACTTAAGCTCAGTATATCTGGCTAATTTTTTGCATGCTCCTAGGTCAATGGCTTGACCTTTAGGGAATACTGTCGGTTACACTCAAAGCCCTCGAAGAGGCCTAAAAAGTGACCGCGAGTGAAATTCTCTTTATATGAGCTCTATTACGAAAAAAAATTTCCTCCGACGACCCCCCTTGATATTTTGTGAGGTGGTAGAAGAACACCTAGGGGTTTCATAAAAAACTCGGCAATTCTGGGAAAACTTCGTAAAGCGGTCAAAACTGACCAGTTGTATTTCCCTATATAATCTTTGTATTTTATGGGAAAAACAGGGAAATTTTAACACAATTTTTAGGTTACTTAATGTCTGTACATCATGCTAAGTTTTTGCATACACTACTATAGATGACTAGGCCGTATGGAAAAACTGTTGGTCAGACTCAAAGCCCTCGACGAGGGCTAAAAGATGATCTTGAGTGAAATTCTCCTTATATGAGATATATATATATATATATATAAATAAATTGACGAACGATCCCCTTAATATTATGTGACGTCGTAGACCGATATGGAGGGTAACGAAAAAACTTTATTCCCGTCGGAAACAGCCATTATAGTCGTTAAATAAGTTCATATAACGTAATTTCTTATATAAGCAAACAATATAAGTAAACAATGAAATACGTCATACGTTCAGTTTTCAAGGGAGGTAACGTTTTTAAAATTATTATTTTTCAAATAATTGTATACTATTTTAAACAGAAACAGAAAATGACGAAGTATAGCATTTGTTTTAGTACAAAATTAAGTTGTTAATTTAGTTAAGTATGTTAATTAAATTAATTAATTAATTTCAAAAGGCAATGTAATATAAACTATGAGATATACTGTTCATGAAACCTGTGTAGTTCTAATTCCATTTTAGTTATACATTGCGTACTTTCCAAAAATTCGCTACGAATCTGTATGTAAATGACTAACAAAAACATTTTTTCTAAAGTTAGCATTACTGTTTAAATTAAACTTATTAAACTTATTAAAGCACTCCACACCCAATCCATCGCTAAATAATTAAGTATTCAAATTCTCAAATGCCTTTTAAAAACCTAAGCGAAGCTAGGCAGTATGCCTAGTATAATATAAAATCTGTTTGAGTAAGTGAGCTGGTGAATTTGTAACTCAATTTTCACAATTTCAAATCGAGCGATTTCTTAAAACTTTTGGACCTAATACAGTTACATCAACAATGGCGGTACGCATAGATTACAATCTAATTAGGCATTGTATTTATTGCTTTTTTACTTTCTCAATACACGAAGTGGTACTTTATTTCGGTTTCTAAAATTACTGAAATACCAAATTACTTGAGTGCTGTTTCAGTTAGGTAGTTGAAATTTCATAATTAGATATATTACTTTGTTGCTCTCTGTCAAAATGTGAGTCTTTTTCGTTTGCTGGAAGCAGTGCTTTGCGCTATTTCCCGATATTTAAAACAGGTAATCAAGGTTTTCTTTAGAAAATACAAATTTTCTGTTCTTTTTTTCTGCACAAATCTATCTATATATATAAAAAGCAATGTATGTCTGTGTGTCTGTGTGTTTGTTTGTCCTTTATGCATTACCACACCTCTCATCACATCGCCGTGACACTTTGGGAAGTTGTTGAGAATATTCCTGGGGAGGTTTCTGCGAAAAAAAAAAATTTCAAATTCGCAGGGGTGGCGCCCCGGCAGGGCGCGATTTGTTTTTCTCTATATACGGTATATAAAAATAAAAAGTTGATTTTGGTTTGACATCGTTCATCTGCTAGCCAGGAGACTTTGGGGAGTTCATAATAACACTCTAAGGAAGGGTTCTGTAAAAAAATAATTTTTAATTTCGCAAGGGCGGCGCCACGGGAGGGTGCGATTTTCCTCTATATATGGTATATAAAAATAATAAAAGTGAATTGCAGTGACACCGTTCATCCGATAGGCATTAAACTTTGGGAAGTTGTTGAGAATATTCCTGAGGAGGTTTCTGCGAAAAGAAAATTTCAAATTCGCCGGGGTGGCGCCCCGGCAGGGCGCAATTTGTTTTTTCTCTATATACGGTATATAAAAATAAAAGTTGATTTTGGTTTGACATCGTTCATCCAATAGTCATGAGACTTTGGGGAGTTCATAATAACACTCTAAGAAAGGGTTCTGTAAAAAAACATTTTTAATTTCGCAAGGGCGGCGCCTTGGGAGGGTGCGATTTTTCTTTATATACAGTATATAAAAATAAAAGTCGATTTTGAATGAGACACCGTTATCCGATAGCCATGAGACTTTGGGGGAGTTGATTAGAACAATTCAGGGAAGGGTTCTGTAAAAAAAAAAAACCTTTATTAATTTCGCAAGGGCGGTACCACGGGCGGCTGCGATTTTTCTCTATATACGGTTTATAAAATTTAGTTTTCACACCGTTCATCCGTGTACCATGAAACTTTGGGGAGATTTTAATTTCGCAAGGGCGGCGCCACGGGCGGCTGCGATTTTTCTCTATATACGGTTTATAAAATTTTCGTCAGTTTCGTCACCTAGCGAAAGATGAAAAAATAACTGTTTGAATACGAGGAACCTACTGTAGAGTTTCGTCACTTTGCGAATGATGCAATAAGCATCTATTATTAGACGATCCAGGCCGAAAATGAGACCCAGCATCTAATAATAGACCATTAGTAACGCTAGCATATTGCATCAGTCAAACTGATGTTGAAAACACGTCAAATAATTTTTGTATGTGTTAAAGAAAAAAATCCTGTTCATTTGTGTCACTTTAGCGAATGACGAAATCTGCATTATTGTTTACACGCTGGGTTATCCTATGAGCACGATGGCGCATGTTAGTTTTAAGGAGCCAGGGGCCTTACGCTGCGCCTCTGCGGTAGTGTAATCGGGGGTAGGGGGGCTCCTGAGAGCGCCCCTCTACGTCCCTGACATATGGGTGGTCACCGAAGTGTGTTCTAACTAATTATTTCGGTGAGTGATTAAAATACACTCAAGGTTTTCATGCGGTAGTGTAGGAAAACCCGTGTCCCGATAATTATTATCCAAGCGCAGACATTGTTAACATTTAAATAACACAGTTTTAGAAAACAAGGTGACGCGTCTAAGAACATATGATTGGTAATGCATTGGTGATATCCTTCTAATATATTTCGTCAGACTTTCTTCTATCCCCGCGGCAACGCGCGGGGGTCGGGTACGCTAGTTATATTTATAAAATGTAGTTATTTATACAAATTAATTAAAACATATCCCTACTGTTATTTAGGAATATATTAGAAAGTTTAGGGACGATCACTCCCGTTTTTTATTAAATTCAGTATGAACTCATGGTAAATAAACCGGGAGTGATCTCCCCTAAGCTTTCTCGAATATTCTTATATAACACTACGGGGGATGGCAACTCGGGATATAGACAATATTTTCAATCCATTTTTAATTACTTACACTTTTTATAATAGAATAGCATCTCGTAGGAAAAAGAAAACGCCAAGCAAAATATGCATACTAGAGCAGGATATTATAAGTACTTTATAAATTCACATGCGTTTTTTGAGAAATCGGAAATAGCGTAAATTACTACTCCCGGTAAACGGAAATTACTCAAAATTTGACAGTGGCAGTGAATTAGACTTTTTATTTATATATGAAATTTCATTTATCTATCTGAAACAGTACTTAAGTTAAAAGCTTTTGAAACATTGAAAGTAGAAAAAGTTTTCGAGTTTAAGAGATGCATGCAAACATTTAAAACTGTACTGAAACCTGGGTCGAGTTGATTGTTTCCATTTGTCGTTGATCTAATCCCTATCCGAACTTGACGATTTTTGTGATTATGGACGTAAATCGGATCCCAGCCATCTGTTTAAAAAGGGTAAAACCGTTTGTTAAGTAACCAATAGAAAAAAAATATTATAAAGAAAAAAAAGTAGTGTCTGTTTTCTAAATAATGATAATTATATAATTATATATATATATATATATATATATATATATATATATATATATATATATATATATATATATATATATATATAAAGTTCAATTCTGTATGTATATATGTTTGTAAAATGTTTGTCGTGGATTACAAAGGAATATCACAAAAAACAAAAAAATCGAAACTTTGATGGATTAAAGTGTTAGAATATTAAAGTGCTCATGGTCTAAATTTATGAGTTAAAAAATTAATAATTAAAGTGTTGGGAAATAATTTTCATTTTTCAAACTGATAGTAATAATTGTCGGCATGTTCTTTAAACACAATTTTTAAAAAAATATCATCTTTTACAAAAATTCTAATTATTTCTGAAAATTATTTATATTTAGTCCTTTAGCACTTACTTCCCTTTGATAAATTAGGAAAACACAATTACTTCCCTTTATAAAACATTGCATTAGTGGAAAAGAATTTACTTTTTATTACTTTGTTTTGGTGTTGGGAAAAAATAATTACATAATTAGCGGGGATTGATCAAGTGCAAATGTTGTAGGTATTTTTAATACTGCCTTTTATTTATTCTATACACTGAACTTACTGTTTACTAATTATTTTTTAAAATCAATAACAGTTAATAAGCCAGGTCCTACATGTCCTATATGTTTATTTCTTTCCGTTTAGGGATAAGCTTGGAGTATTATAATTGTCCTCTGGCGCCCAGACAGGGTGCTACTTGGGGCCCCGGGCCTCCCGTGTTCTGTTTGGCGCAACGTTCGTTTAAGTGTGTGCAAAAGACTATG